GCGAGCAGGAGGAGGAGTAGGAGGAGGAGGAGGAGGAGGAAGAGGAGGAGGAGGAGGAGGAGGAGCAGGAGGAGGAGGAGGAGGAGGAGGCCGACGACGAGCACAACACGCTCCCAGCGCATGAATGCCCACATAGAGCATACACCACGTAAACAATACACCTCTTGCGCTAAACACGAAGCGTACGCACACCCTGCTCTCCCCCCGCCCGCCCGCCAGGCACACACCCCGTACGCACACCGTACACCCCCCCCGCCCGCCCGCCAGGCACACGTCCCGTACGCACACCGTGCACCCCCTCCCCCCGCCCCCCTGGCACACACCCTGTACACGCCCGCGCACACACGCGCACACACGCACACACACACAGCCGCATACACAGGATCACATAGGCATACATATACGCACACACAAGCACAGGCCACGCGCAACACCTGATCAAATCAACCGCAGGCAACCATCAAACACGAGCTACCAGCGGCGACCATCTGGGCATTCAGGGGAGCCCAGCGAGTGCATCCATGTGCACGCATGCGCGTTGGTTGCAAATCCATGCGCGCGTTCGCACGCAAGGTCAGAGAAGTTGCGCTTCCCGTTCTTGTCCGGAGAGGTTCCCCTCACATTGGTTGTTTCGCCTGAGACATCCTCGAAACAATGAGTTGGTGAAATCGTATGTTTGAGGCGCTTTTTGCTAAACATGAGCTTTCGCTCGAGACATCCTCGAAGCATGAGCTGCTGAGCTCGCTCGCGAAATCTTGCGAATCTTTGGAACATGCCATTTCGCCTGAGACATCCTTAAACAATTGAGATGTCGAAAGCTCCCTTCAAACCTGCCGTTTCGCCTGGGGCATTCTCCAAACATCGATTTCGTTTCGCTAGAGGCATCATCCACAATTCACGTCGGAAGGGACTCTGAACCGTCTTAGAATCGCCTCAGGAGGGCTTCAAGATTGCTTGTAAAGAGCTCCAAATAGGACCTCAAAGGACCGCAAGCGCGCCCAAGAACGCCCCATGAAACCTTTAATCATCATCATCATCATCATCATCATCATCATCATCATCATCATCATCATCATCACCATCGCCATCGCCATGACCATCGCCATCACCACCTTGTTCATCATCATCATCATCATCATCATCATCATCATCATCAGCGCCATCAGCATCATCAGCAGAATCATCAGCGTCGTCAGCATCATTTTCGTCATCGACGTTTTCGTCATCGTGATCGTCACCATCGTCATCATCATCAGCAGCATCGTCGTCATCGGCATCATCATCAGCATCGCCATCACCATCCTCATGCTGTCGTCATCGTCAGTACCATCGTACATAACACACAAACACGACACACGACACAACACACAACACAGTCAACGCAAATAACACACAACATTCTCCCAGCGCGTGAATGCCCATAAAGAGCATACGCCACGTAAACAGTACACCACTCACACTAAACACAAGCGTACGCACACCCTGCGTCCCTCCCGCCCGCCCGCCAGGCCCACACTCCGTACGCACACCGTGCACCCCCCCCCCGCCCGCCCGCCAGGCACACGCCCCGTACACACACCGTGCACCTTCTCCCCCCGCCCTCCTGGCACACACCCTGTACACGCCCGCGCACACACGCGCACACACGCACACAGCCACACACACACACACAGGCTCACACACACGCTCGCACATGCACATACACATACGCACTCACAAGCATAGGCCACGCGCAACACCTGACCAAATCAACCGCAGGCAACCATCAAACACGAGCTACCAGCGGCGACCATCTGGGCATTCAGGGGAGCCTAGCGACTGCATCCATGTGCGCGCGTGCGCGTTGGTTGCAAATCCATGCGCGCGTGCGCACGCAAGATCAGAGAAGCGGCGCTTCCCGTTCTGGTCCGGACAGGCTTCCGCTCGACCGAAAACAAGGTAAAGTCCCATTCGGCATGGAAAACATTCGTTTAGCGCTTGCCCTCTCAAGGAAAATGCGTCCACCATGTCGGATCCTAGATACGTAAACAGATCCGCTGACCTTCGTTTCCCTTTTTTTTTTTTTTTTATAAAAAAAAAAAAAAAAAAAAAAAAAAAAAAAAAAAAAAAAAAGAGTGCGACGCGTTTTCCGCAGTGTGCGCATGACTTTTGAGGGTGTCTCGAGCGAAACGCTCGTTTTGGAGAGGTGGAGAGGCCGTCCCTTTCGCCCAGGTCCGTTTTGCTTCAGGGCGGAACAAGCGTGAAAGCACGTGGGTCCATTTCGCTCAAGAGCGCAGCAAGCCTGACATCGAAAGGGGTCCCATTCGCTTCAGTGCAGAGCAAGTGTGACCACACACGTGGGTTCCTTTCGCGTCAGGGCGGAGCAAGCGTGAAAACACTCCCTTGACGACAGGGGCCCACGTGCTTTCACGCCTGCTGCGCTCTGGGGCGTATGGGACTCAAATGTTTTCACGTTTGCTGCGCTCTGGGGCGAAAGGGGCCCATGTGTTTTCGCGCTTGTTCCGTTCGTGGGCGAAAGGGGCCCACGTGTTTTCATACTTGCTGCGCTCTGGAGCGACATGGACCCACGCGATTTCACGGTCGTTTCGCTATCGCTCGAAAGGGGATCATGTGTTGCCACGCGCCCTGGCCACCCAGCGGCGGCCCCCCCTCCCGAATGTGAGGGAGGAAAAACGTTAGCCTGGCGAAGGACCCAACCATATGCAGTTGTGAGCACCGTCGTTGTACGCACCGCATTCGGAGGAGCTCCCGATAGAGCCACGAAACGTGAGAGGGTGTGGACATTTGTGCGGTGGGCGCATGTGAAAGTAGCCATTGGGGCCGTCGATGGAGCTGCCTATGGGGCCACGGAACGAGTGAGAGGTGTGCCACTGAGGTGTGCCGAAATACGCGCGGTGGGCGTGTGCGAGCGCAACCACCGGGGCCGTCGGTGGAGTTCCGATGGGGCCGCGAAACGTGTGAGGAGTGTGCCGAAATCGGTGGAGTGGGCGCATGCGAACGCAGCCAGTGGGGCCGTCGGTGGGGCTCCCTGTGGGGCCACGAAACGTGCGAGGGGCGTGCCAAAATGGGCGCGGTGGGCGCATGCGAACGCAACCACCGAGACTGTCGGTGGAGCTGTCTGTGGGGCCGCGAAACGTGTGAGGTGCGCGCCGGAATGGAAGCGGTGGGCCCATGCGTACGCAACCATTGGGACCGTCGTCGGAGCTCCTCGTGGGCCACAGCACGCGCAAAAGGTGAGCCAATGGGGCGCGTGCGAACGCAGCCACCAGGGCCGTCGGTGGGGTTCCCTGTGGGGCCACGAAACGTGTGAGGGGTGTGCCACAATGGGTGCGGTGGGCGCCAGCGAACTCAGTCATTGGAGCCTTCGGTGGAGCTGCCTATGGGGTCACGCAACGTGTGTGGTGTGTGCCAAAATGTACGCGTTGGGCGCAGGAGAACGCAGCCACCAGGGCCGTCGGAGGGGCTCCCTATGCGGCCACGAAGCGTGTGCGGGGTGTGCCAAAATGGTTGCGGTGGGCGCATGCGAACGCAACTACCGTGGCTGTCGGTGGAGCTGCCTATGGGACCGCAAAACGTGCGAGGGGCGTGCCAAAATGGGCGCGGTGGGCGCATGCGAACGCAACCACCGAGACGGTTGGTGGAGCTGTCTGTGGGGCCGCGAAACGTGTGAGGGGCGTGCCGACATGGGTGCGGTGGGTGCATGCGAACGCAACCAGTGGGACCGTCGGTGGAGCTCCATCTGGGGCCACAACACGCGCAAAAGGTGAGCCACCATGGGTGCGTGGGGCGCGTGCGAACGCAGCCACCAGGGCCGTCGGTGGGGTTCCCTGTGGGGCCACGAAACGTTTGAGGGGTGTGCCAGAATGGGTGCGGTGGGCGCCAGCGAACGCAGTCATTGGAGGCTTCGGTGGAGCTGCCTATGGGGTCACGAAGCGTGTGTGGTGTGTGTCAAAATGTACGCGTTGGGCGCAGGAGAACGCAGCCACCAGGGCCGTCGGAGGGGCTCCCTATGCAGCCACGAAGCGTGTGCGGGGTGTGCCAAAATGGGCGCGGTGGGCGCATGCGAACGCAACTACTGGGGCTGTCGGTGGAACTGCCTATGGGACCGCAAAACGTGCGAGGGGCGTGCCAAAATGGGCGCGGTGGGCGCATGCGAACGCAACCATTCGGGCCGTCGGTGGAGCACTTTGTGGAGCCACGAAGCGTGTGAGGGATGAACCAAAATGGGCGCGTGGGGCGCAGGCGAACGCAGCCACCAGGGCCGTCGGAGGGGCTCCCTATGCCGCCACGAAGCGTGTGAGGGGGCGCATGCGAACGCAGCCACCACGGCTGTCGGTGGAGCTGCCTATGGGGCCACGAAACGTGTGAGGGGTGTGTTGGAAGTTGTGCGGTGGGCGCATGCGAAAGCAGCCATTGGGGCCGTCGGTGGAGTTCCTATGGGGCCACGAAGCGTGTGAGGGGTGTATCGATATAGATGCGGTGAGCGCATGCGAACGCAGCCACTGGGTCCGTCGGTGGAGCTCCGGATGTGGCTGTGAATCGTGTGAGGGTGTGCCAACATGGGCGCGGTGGGTGCATTCGATCGCAGCTATGGGGGCCGTCGGTGGTATCGGGCGTGCATGGAACCTTCTCAGGACCGTCTCGTGGCTCTCTTGGAGCCCTCTCTGGGCCTTCTTGGGCCATCATGGCGTCGCTCTGGGGGGTACTGGGTCTGTCTGGCGGGGCCTTGGGCCGCCTTGGGTAATTTTGGGCCGTCTTGGAGCTATCGGAAGGCAGTCTTGAAGGCCAGCTGGGGAACCGTGGGGCCATCTCTGCGGCCTCTTGGGCTGTCTGGGGGCCCTCTAGGCGCCCATCCTGGGGCACCCAGCCAAATGACGAGACCCCCGGGGAGCAGCGTCGCGCGTCCGAACCAGCAGGCAGCAAACTATCCACAACCATGCCCGCGGGGTCCGTCGCGCCTTTCTAGCTAATGGGTATTTTGGCGAGGCGACAGTAGGCAAATGAGTGCCGTGACCTTTTGCGGCTCAGGCGGCCTGGAGCGCCCGTTGGCGCCTCGCCTGACGTGCATGGGCATACCCAAATACCACAAATGGCTCACGGAGCGGTACCCCGACGCCTTCTCGGAGGCGCAAGGGGAGTGGGCCGACCATGTTTACGTGGACATCAACGCACAGCTTCACGATGTCATGCGTCACGCCGTCAACCTTGAGGGCTTCTACTCTCACCTGTTCAGCAAGCTGGACGGGCTTTTCCGGGCGGTCGCTCCGTCGCGCAGCGTGTTCTTGGCCGTCGACGGCCCCGCCTCGTGCGCCAAGTGCCTCACGCAGCGTCAGCGACGTCGAGCGCACGCCCAGAAGGACTCCAGGCACAAGAAGGGCGGCAAGGGGAAGGGAAAGGCACAGGGCTCAGGCCTCTCGAACAACATGCTGACCCCTGGGGTTCCCTTCATGGCGGAGCTCACCTCCGCGCTGGAGTACTACGTCGCGAGCCGCATGGGCCCGCGGGGTCCGTTCGAGAGGTGCGAGTTCGCCACCGTCAGCGGAGCCTGTGCGGTAGGAGAGGGCGAGCACAAGATCGTCTCGCAGATGCTGCGGAACGCCGGCAGTCTGGGCGAGGGGGCGGCTCCGGAGTCGCACGTGATCTTCAGCGGCGACGCCGACATATTCTTGCTGTCGTTGGTGCAGAGCTCCTGCCGGCGCGTGCGGGTTGTCTCCGAGCGCCCCGACGAAGCTGGCAAGAAGGGCGGCGGCGGCGTCAAACGGCGCCATGGCATGATGCTGCAGGTTTGGGACGCTGAGGCGCTCGCGGAATACCTTCACCAGGAGCTTGCCACCAGCCCGGGCGCCATGGGCTGCGCCGCCGGAGAGGCGGCCGTGCGGCGGGACTTCGCGATGGTGTCGCTGCTCGCCGGGAACGACTACCTGCCGGAGCTGAGGTGCGCCCTGAGCCCCCAGAGGATGTGGGACGTGTACCTGGAGCTGAGGCGGAAGCAGTTCCCGGAGCAGCCGCTCGTGGAGGCCCTGGACACGGGGGAGTTGCCGCTCTCCCACCAGGCCGAGGGCTGGGCGCTCGGGCTCGGGGAGACGGGCGCCGCCTTCGCCTCGGAGCCGTTCCAGCACTACAGCTTCCACCCCGCGCTGCTCAGGCACCTGATGGTCGCCGCGGCGGGGGGCGGCACGCCCTCCGGCCGGGCGACCGAGCAGGAGCGCGAGGGGGCGCAGCGGTTCCTGGAGGGCCTGCTGTGGATCCTGGAGATGTATCACCACGGCTACTGCGGGGATTTTTATCCGAGGGGCTGCGCCCTCTGTCGCAGGCCCCGCCCCCCCCCTCCCCCCCTCCCAGGGGCTGGGCCACCCTGTAGCCATGCTCGGACGGTGTTGGGTGCTGGGGCCATGTAGGGGCCTCTGCGGCCACCGTGGGGCCTGCTCGGGAATGTTGATGATCTTAGGGGACCCTGGGGCCCGTCTTGGGGCCATCGTGGGCACTTCTTGGGGCAATCCGTTGGGTCATCCTGGACGTCAATGTGACAGCACAATCGTGTTTCTCTGTATGTGCCCTTTCGGGTACGTACGTCTTTGGGGCTTCCTGGGCAATCTCAATGATATCCCGGGGCCACCTTCGGCCGTCGGTGGCTCTCGAGCTGGTCTTCAGAGCCTCTTTGGAAGGGGGACAGGACTTGAGAGACAAGAGCATCGAAGCAAGCAGCATTCATTCGGAACATACAGATCAACAATTTCACCAGCCCGGCAGCGCTTCTCACAGCCTTGCCCAGGGGCCCCCGAAGCCAGGATATTGCAAACCGGGGCCTCAAACATTCCAGCTGGAGGGAACAAATCATTGATCAGGTGTCGGCCCACAGCTGCAGTTCTCTCGGGCGCGCCAGTGTCTTGGCTGATCAACGTCCCCGTGTATTGGGCCCTGATTTGCGCCCACAAGTTGTCACAAGGGGGCTGGCGGACTTCGTGTTCGAGAAGAGCAAGCACTGTTGCGCGAGCGCCTCCCTAATCGTGAAGTTCCTCGCCACCTTGGGGGAGGACCAGCCAGTGGCCGAGCCTTCGCGGACGCATCGGCCGCCGATGCGGCCACTCTCCTGCGCGATGAGCATCCTGCCCTCCGCCCAGGCGGAGGAGTTCCTGTGTCCAGGAGCTCCGAGCCTGCGGCCGATGTTCTCCACAAGCCACCCGCTACTCGGCGCCATCAACGCGATGGAGCGGTCGTCCGAGCTCGGCCAGGTCAAGGCCATGGTGTCGACGTTGCACAACGAGATGATGAGCCTGCGCAGCCTGGGCCGCGACGACAGCGCCGTGAAGAGCCAGCTGACGGCGGCGCAGCAGCGCCTCGAGCAGCTCAAGAAGTGCGGCGGCGGCGACATCGACGTGGTGCCGTTCGCGGAGCTGGACGCCGAGGTCCAGGAGCTGTGCACGGGCAGCCCGTCCCTGGAGTTCGCCCCCGACTCCACCTTCGTGCGCCAGGCTGGCGCTGAGGGGCACTCGATCCCCGCGCCCTCCCGCGGCATGCAGCCTGTGTGGTGCGCAGGCCTGCAGCGCGTGGTCGGAGAGTGGCCGCAGGGCGCTGCTGCCGCTGGGGAGGAAGCTGCGGCCGCCGAGGAGGCGGCGCCAGAGGAGGAGCGGAGGAGGAAGAAGTACCGATACCGCCACCCTCGCCTCGTTTTCGCCTTTTGGGGGCCTCCTGGGAGGCCCTCGTCGCGACGGCTGGAGCCTCCTCGAAGTGCTGGTCAGACCGCACCCCAGGGGAGGCCTGGGTAGCAGCAGTATCGGCACGTACCTTCGAGCAGGAGGAGGAGGAGCTCGAGGGGGATGTGCCCGAGGAGGAGCCGGCCGACGAGGAGGAGTACGAGGAGGTGGCGGAGGAGGACGCCGCGCCCGAGCAGCCCGTTTTCCAGGCCGGCGAGCTGGTTGAGGGGTACTGGCCCGATGACGACACGTGGCTGCCGGCCAAGATTGTCAAGGTGCGCGCCAGCGGCGAAGTGCTGATCTCCTGGATGGAGGACCAGTCCAGGAGCGAGGTGCCCGCCGACTACGTGCGGAGACCGGAGCAGGACGAGGCCCCAGCTGCCAAGCGGGCGCGGCGGTGAGGGCACACTCCGTGGCGCAGCACAAGCAGAGAGCTACGGAGGGGGCGTTCGCTAGCATAAGGAGTGTGCACTGGAGGCTTCAGACTCTGGTTCCTTAACTTATCAGGGCAGCGGTGATCGTTTCACGTCTGGAGTTCCACCAGCCTCCAGACCCTGGATTCCTGATCCGGTGTTTCCTTATCCGATGCCCTCACCGTAGGTCTTGCTGCCACCTGGCAGCCCTGAGAGAGGCAGGCAGCAGCAGCCGTCGCAGTCTGTGCGACCTGCAAGCGCGCGAGTCGTCTGCGGGGAACAGTGGGCGGAGGCGAGTGATGCGATTGTGCTCGCTCCTCCGGCCGCCTTCCAGCGGATAGGGCATTGCATTTCAAGTCTGGATTGTCTTGCTCTGTGCATGTCCCCCTGGGAGATCTAGGCGGCGCGCTCTAAGAAAAACATTCACTTGGGACCCGCTCGTGGAAACGGCTGTGAGCGCAGAAGCAAACACCACGTTCCCAGACACGGACAATGGCACGAATGTCGTTTGTCTGTTCGCTGCCTTTTCGGAACAATATTTTATTTTGGTGTTCGAGCTCGGGGTCAAGACGCTGGCGCGTGCAAGCGCTGCCTGCAAAGTCGGAAGCCGTAGCAGCTAACGACGGATGATGATGATGATGATGATGCTGATGATGATGTTGATGATGATGATCATGATCAGGATGATGATGATGATGATGATGATGATGATGATGATGATGATGATGATGATGATGATGATGGTACTGATACTGATGATGATGATGATGATGATGATGATGTTGATGTTGATGTTGATGGTCATGATGATGGTGAGGATGATGTTGCTGATGATGATGATAATGATGATGGTCAGGATGATCATGATGAATAAGATATTGATGAGGACGGTGATGGTGATGATGATGCTGATGATGCTGATGATGCTGATGATGGTGATGGCAATGGTGATGGTTATGGTGGTGGTGATGTTTGTGGTAATGGTGATGATGATGGTGATGATGATGGTGTTGGTGATGGTGAAGGTGATGATGCTTATGCTGAAGATGATGATGATGATGGTGATGATGATAATGATGATGATGCTGATGATGATAATGATGACGATGATGGTGGTAATGCTGATGCTGATGCTGCTGATGCTAATGATGATGACGCTGTATGTTATGATGATGATGATGATGATGCTGATGATGCTGATGCTGATGCTGATGCTGATGATTATGATGATGATGATGATGATGATGATGATGATGATGATGATGATGATGATGATGATGCTGAGGAGGAGGAGGAGGAGGAGGAGGAGGAGGAGGCTGAGGTCCTGGCACATTACTTGAACAGCCGATTCATTGTAGCATTCTGGACGACCGCCTGGAGGACCCATCGGCGGCGTCCCCTGAAGAGGCCAGAGCGCCATGAGTTCCAGCTCGAGCAATCAGACGGATGATATACAGATCATTGTGATTATCGAAGACGCCTACGGCGAATCACCGAACCCCCTTGCCCTTCTGGAAGCGCCTATGTGGCCAGCTATCGGGCCAGCTGGGCTAGAGCTTGGCCAGGTTATCGGCCCGGTTGTTCCCCGAGTCGGTTTGGAAACCCTTCGGGGAACGCGTGGGGAGTAAGAGGAGGAGGATCAGGAGAGGCAGGATGATGGTGATGATGATGATGATGATGATGATGATGATGATGATGATGATGATGATGATGATGATGATGTTGATGTTGATGGTCATGATGATGATGATGATGATGATGATGATGATGATGATGATGATGATGATGATGATGATGATGATGATGATGATGATGGTGATGGTGATGGTGATGGTGATGGTGATGGTGATGGTGATGATGGTGATGATGATGATGATGATGGTGATGATGATG